GAGAGAGAGAGAGAGAGAGAGAGAGAGAGAGAGAGAGAGAGAGAGAGAGAGAGAGAGAGCCAGCCGCATGTGCGTGTGCTCGACCCCCTGTTCGCTGTCGGGGGCAGACTGGAGGACCCGTACTTGTACCGTTAAAAAAATGTTGTATCAAAAGCTGCGAAATCGAATGTCACAATGGCAACTCTCATCGATTTTGACATCCTGGATATGTGAAATCAGTGGTCCTGAGGTTACATGGCAATGTTAAGTTGGGTTGGGATTGAGCGATGTGGGGGGGGAGCGACCGGAAGAAGTAAATATAGCGTTATCTCTTCCTCTGTTATTTAACTTACATTTTCTTGAGCTCCTGATGGCGAAGGATGTGGTCATCTATGTCTTGGTGCAGGAAATAGAAGCAAGAGTTCTGAAGGCAGTGCAGCCGCCAGTCTGTTTAGATCCGTCTCCTCTTGTTGCGGAGACAGCGGCAATCATTAACTACAATAAGGTGTGAATGGTGAATCTTCACTCTGCATGGTAGCTGTGGACTGCTTTCATCGTTTCCTTCTTTTCTTGTTTTTGTTTCTTGAACTGCCGCTCCAACGGCCCCTACACTGTTCATTTTTCTTGTCGTCAAGTACCGGATCAAAATCGACAGTGCCCAGGCAGGGTAGAGGTTCGTGGGGAAGGGTACCACAACTATTTTTTGTCATGGTGGCACCGTAGATTTTAGGCTCGGGGAAATGCAAATTTTGGTCTGTCAAAACAGGTCCGAAAGGAGTGGGGTTTAGTCCCTGGCCCTCTTCTTGAAGAGGCCAATTCCCCGCATGAACCACCAGTAAGTTTCCCTGGTACCTCGTTCCGACGAGCTGGTTAACACCGCGCAAAATTGTCGTTTGGGCCTAACGGGTGGAAAGGCGGGCAGTGCCGGGCAAGATTGCGCCTGGGACGATTCTTTTTTTTTGGGATGAGCAGCACAACGCATCGGAAAAGAACGTGTCAGAAGAACTGGTAGTGTAAGTATATGCTTGTGCAACTGGTAGTGTAAGTTCTCCTTGTTTGCATGACGAAGAATTTACTGTGGGCTACCTTATTTACATGGATATGTTCATGAAGTTGCAAAGAATGAATCATGGCATTTTTTTGAGCCATTGGATTATCAATGGACCTGTTCTGCATATTACATGAAGTTGCAAATAGTGAATCATGACATATGCCCTGCTTCCCCCCTTCCCCTGCTTCTTCCACTTCCCCCCTTCCCCTGCTTCCCCCCCTTCCCCCCCATCCCCTACCCTCCTTCTCCACCCCTCTACACCTAATGCGCAAGCCTCAAGGGGAATAGCACACTACACAATGCCGGCATCCATGTGTGTGCACCAAACTTGTATGCAGGGTGCATGCACAAAGATGTCCTGCGCACTGCTCTGTAAACCAGAAAGGTGTGCACATGTACCACTCAGCCGCCAGGTGGATACATACATTCAAGCCGCTTCAACTTTGCACAACAGTTGCAACTTCGTGTGTATGAGAGGCTGATCACCCATACCTACATTCCTGTGTCGGTTCCTACGACGAGAATTGTTATTGATACGTTATTTACCGCTCTCAATTGCCCTGCAGGTCTGTCAGCCGTCTTGCATTGAGCTGCCCTCAGCACCATCTTTGCTATGATAGCTTTTCCCACTGCTGTGCTCCCTGAAAACACAAGACGAGAAACATGATTCGTCATCAGGAACTACTTTTGAGAATGTCCATCACTATTTCATTATCTGTCTGCGATCTATCAATTACTCCATAGCTCATTGCAGCACTTGGGACTCTTAGCACCCTGTTGTTGTTGTCTTTGTTGGTGTTGTTATTGCTGTGTGGAATCCTTATGCTTACAGAACAATAGTTGTTTTCTCTCAAGGATTCAGCAGTTCTTACCTTCGTTTTGATGAATTCGCCTGTGTTGTAGAGCTGCATGGCATGGTCTTCTTAACTCTGTTGTTGCCACTGTTGCTTTTGTTGTCGTGTTCTTGTTGTCACCGTCGTTGATGTTCTGTTTAGTGGGGTCGTGCTCTCTGGCAGAATTGGTAGTCCTCCTCTGTGTTTGATTAGTTCTCTTTGCTTCGAACGGGTATGATGTTGGCATTACTTGTGTGCGCTAAAAGGTTTCACTGCATCGCGTCTTGTCGTGTAGGACAAATTCAATGTCCAGCGCAGGAGGCCACAATGGTATAAGTTTGGTCAAGTGAATCCCCCTCAACCGCAGGCAGGTGGAGGTACTGAAGTCCGTCCCAAAGGCGGTGGTCCCACGGTGCCCGCTAAGAAGCAACGACATGGAAAGGACTCGGCTTCAGCACTACCTGCAGCAACTTCTCCCACTCCTGTTAATGCATCGCCGTCCTTGCCGCCAGATACCACGGAAGGGGATGCTGCTGTTGCTATGGGAGGCAAAGCGACTCGCGTCAACAATTTTGGAATTACTCCCCTCCCGAATGGCCATCTGTCATCAGCAAATGGGAATGCGAATGGCGTTTTGCTCTCAGGGGTGGCTCCAAAGGGTGGGAAGGGGAGGACAAAACCAAAAGTGGAATTGACTGCTCCGCAATCAGAGGCACAGCCTATGACGAGCGACTCTGCGGTGCAGGTGGATTCGTCACAATTGCTTGGCCCAGCGGTATCACCTGTGTCTGCACCTCTGCAGGTCCCAGAAGCTTCTGCTAATGGGATAAATGCTGCCATGCCAGGTCCGGTGATTGAGCCCACTGCAGCGCTGGGTGCAAGAGTAGATGTCAAGCCCGTAGCACACATGGAGTCTGGTAAACGACCAAGGGAGGCGGAGGCAGCGTTGCGTGCAGAAGCAAAGAGGCAAAAACAGGAGCAGGCGAGGTTGCTGAAGCTTCAGAGAGATTTACAGAGGGCTCAAGTGAAACAGGAGAAGGAGAACCAGAAGCGGCAGCAACAACAACAGAAACAATTTCTGCGTGCACAGAAGCAGCAGGCACAAAATGCTGCGCGCACTGCATCTCCTTTTCCTCCACCACCTCCTCTTCCCCCTCCATGTTCAGGTCAACAGGCACAGCCAGAGATGCAGTCCACTGCATCGCAAACAGATGGCATTTCAAGAGTCGAGAGGACTGGAGCTGTGGAAATGACTTCTATGGCCGTTATGACCGAACTTGACGCCAAGGCGGAGGTGCCAGTCGACGCTACCAAGCAGCATGCTACTGAACTGCAAGACGCAGATCAGACTCTGATTGCGTGTGTTCCTAGTCAACATCCTGGCATTTGGGAGTGGCAAGTTCCTCGTCAGGCCAATCCCCCAGTCCAGCAACAGGCAGGATATGGCGGGGACTGCCCACAGCTCTGGCCTCAGCCTGAGTCAGAGGGCAGAAGCGGGGCAGTGCCACCACAATCTTCTGCTCAGCAGTCAGGAGGACATCGCAAAGGCTCGGTTTTGGATGCGCCTCTGCCAACAGAAATGGATGAAACTTTGCTGGAAAATCGACCTCTCTCGGAGAAACCTGAGGTTGACGACCTTCTCTTCGCTCTCAACATGCAAGCGGACGCAAAGTCCCTTCTGCAAGATGTTGCCCCTGCACAGGTCTGTAGCAGTGGACAGCTGTCCCTTCCCGAGTCTAGAGTGTTGGTTAGGGAGGATTCGATATGTTCTCAGCGTTTGCCACCATCGCCAATCCAGCAGGAGTCCTGGGTGGGAGAGGTGCGTGATACCTCTGTACAGAACTCGGTAAATCATTTGGGTGGTGTTGGCGGTGAAGGCCGTCCAGAGTCGACGAAGGCGGAATCCCTGCCTGGTCTTGAGAGGCAGTGCTCGCCAAGTGTTACTGAAACGGCAGCACTAGGTTCCCAGCCTACAGCTGTAATGGAGTGTGTGGATGCAGGGAAACAGGGTGATCCTGCAGGAATTGCAGGGTCCGGTGCGTGCCATTTGATATCTACGCCGGGCGGCCAGCTGCCAGCCGATGATCTTTCGCAGCTGAGATCTCGCTCCTTCACAGAACGGCAGCAGAGAACGCAGCTGGAGTCCCAGCAGCAGTCAGAAAATTCATCCCAGGTGCATGCTGAAGCTCAGGGAGCTTTGCTCCCGCGTCCTCAGCAGCAGCCGTTCTTACCAAGGTCGGACTGCGAGGCAGATGAGAAGTTGCTGGCACAACAGGATGGTGGAAATTTGCCCACACAAGCAGATACTGGCTGGAAAACCATGGTGCCGAATCTAGTCTGTTCAGAGCAGTGTGATCCGCTGATGGATTTGCCCCCGCCGCTGTCATCAGAAGAACCGCCACAGCCACTGAAGTCAACTCTACGGCAGTCGTCTTGTTTCAAAACTGCTTTGCAGGACAAACATGCACAGACAGGCGTGAAGCCAGAAAACCAGCCTGGAGAGCCGAGGGGTCTGCCGATGCTGCCTCTTCCCGTCCGCGTGAAGCAGGAACCTCCATCACCCGATGCATTACAGCCAGTAGACACACCTGTAATTCCACCCCCTGTACAGCTTCCTCCTGCTTCCCTGTCAGAGATCAGTGAAGAGCATTCGCATCTGATCAGCCGGGGTGTAGAAGATGGACAGGAGCCGGCAGATGTGACACTGACAGAACCCCCCATGAACTCGCTACAGAGCGAGAAAGTGCCGCTCAAGGCAGCCATTCCACCCCTTGTACAGTCTTCGATGCCCCTTCCGTGCCAGCAACCTCAAACGTCACAGCAGCAGAAACAACTTCAACCCCCGCCTCTCACCATTCACCAAACCACACCGATGACGCACACATCGTCTCCTCCCTTTGCAGCCCAATCACCTCTTTATCCATCACCACCACCTTCCTCCCAGGTATTCTCTCAATCCTTTTCCTTGCCCCAAGCTCGACAAGAGAACAACATCCAACTGGTCACTCAGCAGACTGTTCCAAGGACATCTGTTGTTGATGCACCGGTTGTACCGACCCCTGACCAAAAGGAGACAAACATGAACATGCATCTTGTTCAAACCAACCCTCTTGGATCGCCACTCCCACAATTTGATTCGTATGCTTCTCCACCGTTCTCTCAGCCAATGCGGGTGGTAAAGTCTGAAAGAGCTTTTGCAGGTGAAACTCCAGTGAAGGTGGAGAAGAACGTGAAGGTCGAAAAATTGGCGGAGCTGGAAAAACACGTGAAGCAAGAGATTGTGGTGAAATCAGAGGTGGTTGATGTGAAGATTGAGAAGGAGATTGTCACAGTTAAGACGGAGCCAGCGATGAAGAAGCGGCAGGCAGCGCCTTCAGGGGCCCTCCACAGGTCCAAGATGCCGAAAACTGAAGTGAAGCCGTCGGTGTCAGTTCCGGCACTCTCTTCACCGGTCTCCACATCGTCTGTTGGGGATGTCGGAGTAGTCCCACTGATAAGCTCCCCAAGGCCCGGCACAGTCGCGTCACCCTCACTTTCTTCAACTGCAATGGGCAATTCATTTCATTGCTCATCGCCCGCCTACGCAACACATAGCTGGGGGACTCTGGGATGGGGAGGGACAAACATCAGGACTATGGGCTCGTCGGTCTTAGCCTGCAACCGAGCAGGGAGGGTTGGCCAAGGAATGCCCGGTGAGCCAGGAATATGTGTTCAATCGCCAGAGGGCCCTTCAGCACCTTTGCAAGGCCAGCAGTCAGTGGAGGTGCAGACTGAATCGGATGACCTTGGACCTGTTAAGGCAAAATTTGCTAAGTTGGTCCAGTTCATTAATAAGTAAGCTCCCTCTTTCCCATCACCATCTCATCCATCACATTCTGTTTGGTGCATCCTGCTCCGCAACGATAATCATGTGATCATGTTCCATGCACCTGGACGGCAGCTTGCGAGTCTGGTGTACAGTGTCTGTATACTGCCTGTCTAGCTTGCCTACCCAGTCCTCCTCCTCCATCTCTCTCTCTCTCTCTCTCTCTCTCTCTCTCTCTCTCTCTCTCTCTCTCTCTCTCTCTCTCTCTCTCTCTCTCTCTCTCTTTTCACAATTTTTCAGACTTTTGCAGAGTTTTTTAAAGGAGCAAGGGGCTCTTATTCGGTGACGTTTTCCCTTGGCGAGTCTGATGGTCAAAACAAGAAACACTTCTTCTCTTTGTGGGCCGGTGCTTCAAAAGTAAAAGAAAATATAAAATGGTATAAAAAAGATCCGAAAAAGAAGTGTGCTATGTAAAATAATAGAATTGCAATATTGGAGCAAGTCGCCTAAAAAAGAAAAGTAAAAGAATAGCAATATCGGCACACTTCACCTGATGAAATTCGTTGAGAAGATGACATTTATTCCCTTTCCCTGTGAACCCTTTGGTCCAGATAAGGTGTGATGTCCGGATGCTATCGTGAGAGTCCAGGCTGTAATATCTGGGCCTGTCATGGCTGTTAACTAGATATTGATTCCAGTAACCCAGTTATAGTAGTCAGAGTTTCTTGTTTGCCATCAACTAGATATGTGTAGCGACCGGTGTTGCATACCCTGACAGTCGGCGGCCCTTGACTGGTCGGCCGTCAACCAGCCGACCAGTCGGCTGGTCGGCACCTACCGGTCAGGGGTCGTCGGCACCCCGCAAGAACCCCTAACAACCCCACAAACACCCGCATAGCGGCCCCCAATACCCCCATACACCCCTCCCAACACCTCCAAACCGCCCCCAAGACCCTCATTACCCCCCCTAATACCCCCTATACCACCCCT